TATTTTTATAAATAATTAATGAGATAAAAATTGCAATATATAAAACTCATTAAAATAAATAATATTAAAAAATAAATGGCTAATAGAGTAAAATACTTTTGAAGAGATTAAAATATTGTCACACAGTTTTTAATTTTTTTTCCTCACAAAATAAAGGCCTATCTTGAATTATCTAACCCGTGAGCAGAGAGGAGCACCGGCTGCGATAGAATTTTTAAGCCTCTGCATCTCCTTTCTCTTTCTCCTCGCATCGGCAGCTGCCAATCTCCGGCAAGCCGTCGCGTAAACCTCCTCCTGCCTCCGCCGCATCTCGTCGGCGGCTGCGGCGGCCGCGGCCGAAGCCGAAGCTAGATCTTCTGCACTCATGTTCAAATCCGGAACTACGAACTCCCTTCCGCCGCCGATGCCTTTCCACTCCGGCCAAAAACGAAGCTCTCTCTGTTCATACTATTCATGGTAGGTAAAAGAAAAGAAAAGAAATTAGCAAAACACGCATGAGAGAAATGATTGAACAATGAAAAAAACAAAACTTACATCTGAAATCCCTGATTTGAAATAACCCTGGATCAAATTTTGGCAGGATTCACGCGATTCTACTTCTACCTGCTATTTATGGAAATTACAGAATATAAATTAATTCATTGCATGGTTTTGAAGGAAAGGTAAAAGGATCCCCCCAGCCAAAAAAAAAAAAAAGAAACCCAAAATAACACGCTATTAATTCAACCCCTTCATCCTCACAATTAAAAGTCCGTAAACCTAATTGCAATTCCCAAAACACGACCTACAAGTTCGATAGGGTCAAACCAGAGAGAAACAGAGAGAAGGAAACGAAGAGGTAAAAAGACTAACCGGAGCTTTCAATGGCGAAGCCAGATCATCATCCTTCTCCTTGCAAAGAGAGAACGAAATCGGCAGCGCATTAGAGCTCGAAACAGAAATAGGTTCTCCAGCATAAGAAACAGGAACAGTAGCTGAAGCGTGAACGGAACGCTTCCTCTTCCCATTCCACCTCGGGAACCCGAAATCCAAACCCATTGTTTTTGAACTCCGGCGATCAAACCGACGATCGGAAACGGAATCTTGCCGGTGAAGAAGATAGATGATTATATCTGCTACCTCTCGCTCCAAAATCGTGGGCTCACCGTCTCCCGATTCGGATTCTTCTTTCTCTTTACAATTTTTCCCATTCGATTCCAACTGAAAAAGGTTGGGCGGCGACATTGAAGGAAGGAAGTAAGAGAAGACGCGAACCGGGGATGAGGAAGAAGAAGATATAGAAGGGTTTAGCTCCTGCAAGTAATCGCCACGTGTCAATACGAGAGAGTGAAGCGCTCTCCCTGTCGTTTGCAATGGCTCCCTATCAAGAATCAAGCCTTGCCTTGATTTTAAAGATTACATATATAAAATAAAAGTTTTTTTAATCTATTTCCATATTTAACATTTAAATTTTATATTTATCTATATATTATTTTAATATTTAAATAAATTA